CACACACACACACACACACACACACACACACACTTATTACTTTGTGTTGATTCGATTTGACGACAGTGAACTACATCAGATTGTTTTGGACGCACAGATCAGAGCAGGTTATGCAGATTGAGTGGACTGGGTTACATTAAAGTACACTCCATAGAGTCAATGGATAAACTGAGATTTATTAAAGTCATTATTGATAAATTAACTTCTGTTGGTTATTGAAACAGTAACAAACCTGTTGCTGCTGTTGTCTATGAGCCTCATGAGCTTCTTTCTCTTTCTGCAGAGCAGCAGCAGCTTTAGACAAATCTGTCGTCTCTCTGGAATAAATCATGTTTATTAGTTTATATGAATGTTGGGAGTTAAATCCGTCTCCAGATAAATGATTCTCATTGAAGGTGTTAACCTGTGGTCCGATGTAAAGAAACAAACTTAACAAATGAACGAGTACCGATCCAGTTTGTGGAACTCCTGGTCGAGCAGAGCGAAGGCCGCCTGGATCATCTTCATGGCCTGATCCCGAACTGCACTGAAATCTCTGTGGACAAACGTCTGCAGGAGATAAAACATATTGAATTAAAGTCTCCATGAAAAATATAAGTGAATATAAGTAGATAATAATAAAACAATAACAATAAACTTTTTTAGTTTTTTTAATCAACATGATTGAGCCAAAGCTACAGTTTGGATTCCGAAGAACTCGGAGTGTGTCGTCATCACCTGAGGATCAGGCGCCGTGTTCCTGCACTGGCTGCTCGGAGCCGAGTCGCTCAGCTCGTAGCGAACGTTTGGGACCTTTGTGGGGCTGAAACTGTAAAAACAGTCAAAACCAGAATGAAACCAAACTGTTGAAGCTGATCGACACTGAAACAGAAAGAGGTGAAAGAGAAACGCACCTGTGACTGACTCCCTGAAGACCGAACTCTGACAGAATCTCCTTCATCACTGAGGAGGAGAAGTGTGACGACTGTTTCTCTTTGGTTTTTATCTCGTTTTAAAGATAAATCTCAAATATTAGTGAAACCATAAATCTTTAGTAAAGAAAATGATCAACGCACCAGGTTGTCTCTCTGAGGGGTTGATGAGTTTCATCACCTTCAGGTCATTAAACTCCTGCTCTTCATTCTTCCCCCCGAACACATACAGCTGTCAACACAACAAACACACACACACTTCATTCCACATTATGACAACGACGACCACGACCACCTGAGTGAGGCGTTGAATGACTGACGTGACTGCGGAGGATGAACGTCGTGTGTCCGTGTCGACGAGCCGGAGGAATCCCAACGTAGAGCGGAACCTTCCACTTCATCTTAGCTGGAGACACAGGGTGAAAAGACCACGACTCATCAGGATGATCGTTCTCTTCAGCGGACGTTCAGTTTCTCACTCACCAATACTGAGTTTGTGGATTTCATTGGACGACGTCTCTGTGCCGTCCTCAGTGAAGCTTCTGCCACCAAACAAGTAGACGTCCTTGATGGAGACACAGGACACGTGTTCAGGTCAATCACTTTAATTAGTGTTATGACTGTAAAACATTGACGTGCTCGTAACAAGTGAGAACTGTTAAGACTGTAAAGATGGACGACTCGTCTCCACTTCCTGCTGTTGTGCAAACATGAAGCCAAAATATCCTGGAGTGCGTCCATCGGAAGGGATCAGGGGGATGGAACCACGGTATCAAGGTCCCACTAGTACACATGCTCAACCCATCACGGGTCAGTCCCAGCTGTCAATCATGACATGTTGCGTGTGTGAGTATGTGTGTGTGTGAGTGTGTGTGTGTGTGTGTACTTTATCGTGGTGAGCAGTCAGTGTTTGTCTGCTGCAGGCTGCAGGTGTTTCTCCCTTCACCTCCCATTTCTGCCACAACAGGTTTTCTGAGAAAGATGGGGCACAAAGGTCAAAGGTCAGAGACAACTGACTTCCTGTGGACATAAACTTATTAAAGGATCTGCATGTTTTTGGCCTCTAGGGGCGCTACAGAGCTGGTTTTGAGTTTCGTTTGAGTCGTGCATGAATACGATGATGTTCACACTCTGTGAGTAGTTTCACACGATTTCACTAATCTCCCCGTGAAGCCGGTAAAGTCTGGACAGACAAAGACTACAAGCTGGTAAACGATGATGTAAATACAGTTTCATTTAAGATTCTTAGAAATATCAGCTTTGAAAACATTTTGTGGGAAATTAAATTTATTCAACACATATTTTGTAGCTTAAGAAAACTTTTTTTTATTTACAAAAACTCCACAGGACATCTTTAAAATGTTTCAATGTTTCTGTACAGAAGTTTGGTTTGTTTCCTTCAACTGAAATCATTCCATTAAATATCATATTATGAATTTATTATTTATGTCAGTTGCTCAACAAAGTATGTTTGTTTGTGTTGTTGTGATGTTTCTCTGTGTACCTGTGTTGAGGACATGCAGCTCTTTGCAGAAGTCTCCACCTGCTCCGTGACCCCCGAACATGAAGAGCTGATCCCCGACCAGAGCGAAACTCTGATCACACCTACACACACACACACACACACACACACACACACACACACAATAACACACTGACATTTAAACTCACTGGAGGAAAGAACACACTAAAAAACATCACGTGACTCCTTCAAAATGAATTTTAATATTCCTCTGATGAAGGACAGATAAGAGGAACAAAGTGTCTCACAGAGCAGGAGGAAGCGATCCACTGGTTTTAACTGGCGTCCAGGAGAGAGACACTGAAACAGCAGAGAGGACGTTTGAGAGACAATAAGAAACTTTGCATTTATTAAAATGAAAAGACAAAGAACATAAACTAAACAAATGTAAATTAAGATGAAAATAAAACCAAGAAAGTAAAATGTGAGATATAATGAGAACCTGAAGAATAAGAAGAAATAGGTTTATAATTGATGTTAAAAACAGATCATTAAATAATAACGTCTTATTCTTTGATCAGTGGGGGGATTTTTATCTAAATGAAGAAAGAAACGTGTGTGTGTTTTTATTTTCTGGACCTGTGTTGAACACCAGGAGGTCGTCGGTTCGATTCCCTCCCAGTATTCCTCCATACACGTAGATGTTGTCTCCAATGGCAACGGAGCTGTGTCTGAGGGTTTTGACGGCCACGCCCCCGGTTGCTAAGCAATCCCAGGTCAGAGACACTGTCAGAAAAGAACAGGAAATAACATCACAGCCGTGTTTGACTTTGATGAAACGTTGTCCTCTGCCTCCTCCTGCTGTAACATCCTCACCGATGTCAAAGCTGTAAACTCCAGGGAGACACTCGGCGGCTTCAGGGCTCGAGACGCCACCAAACAGATACAACCTCCCTCCGACAACACTGAGACAGACAAGTTACAAACCCATCAGAGACTAATGTCATTGTTTGTAGTGAGACACCTTCACGTGACCTTCAGCTCCCTGAGGCAGAACGAGGATCCTTCACATGAAACCACCAGCTGACAGATCACCGATACTCTTAAAACTGTTCTGACCTAAAATACCAAACATGCAAATTACTTCAGTGAACATCTTCAACATGTCCACCGCCTTCCTCACTGATTTTTAATGTTTTGTTTCAGTGATTTAATTTGTGCACATTAATACGTGAAGCGCTTTGAGCTTCAGTTTGCATCAGCTTCTCAGATACAGTTTATTATTCAGCAGCGTGGAGTTCACGATCGCACATAAAACAAGTGTAAAATAACTGGTGAGGACAATAAAGCAAAACTTCACAATCATGTTTATTACCAAGCAGGTTTTCATATAACAGGAATAAGCTAATAAATTAAAGACAAAGTACTTCAAGTACAAGAGCAAAACTGAAAACTGTGCAATAAAAGTTTCAGATATGAAAAAATACAAGTTTTCACAGAAAATATACAGAACATGAAGGTGTAATAATAAATATATTAAAGCTAATGTGTCTGATGTTTAAAAAGTTTAAGACGTATATATTTGAATCATAGAGTTTACCACAGAGTGTGTCCTTCTCTGGCCGAGGGAACGTCTCCACTCTGAGGAATCTCCTCCCACGTCACATCATCAGGAGACACTGAAATCAAGATTTACATGTTATTTTAGTAAAAATCTCAGAAAGTACAGAAAAATCATTTTCATTTTGTTTCACAAAATATATTTTTCATGGTGAAAAAGTGACAGTCGGTCTTTAAAGAGCTCTTTAAATATCTTCTGCAAACACGATAACAAATAATAATACGATTAAAGAACAAATGTTTAAGTCGAACCTGTCAACATGTAGAAGTCGTTGAAGTAAACCGGGTTGTTCTCCTACAAAATGAGGAAAATGTAAAAATACTTCATTACACAAAAATGTTCTGCATGAAAAATCCCGCTCAAGTAAAAGTACATGGGAGGTGGGGGGGGGGGGGGGGGGGAGTTAAACGACCTGGTTGATGCTGGACACGCCACCGAACAGAAAGGCCACGTTTCCTGCCACGGCTGAAGCGTGTCCGTACCTGAGGACAAAGATGTGACCGAGACTCAAACTCACGTTTACCTTCAGAGTAAAACCAGAAAACTTGATCAACAGCGGCCTCTATGGCCGTAATGGGAACTTACAGGTAAACGGTAAAACATGCTAAAAACATGCGTGACGCAGGATCACTGGTTTTACTTGGACATTTTTTAAGGCGTGAAAAAAAAACGTGTCTCACCTCGGACTCGGAGCTTCTCCTCTCGTTTCTTTCTCCAGCCAGTGACCGCTAGCTAAGGCCATGTTCACATCTACTGACTCACACACACACACACAAAGGTCAGAGCTCACTGTGGCCTCGGTGGACGTATATTTACACATTGAAGTTTTTCCTGTAGCCTTCAAAAGAAAGAAACTTACCTGTGGAGGTTTGTGTCGACGTGTTTTCCGTCTGTCGTGGTTTTGTTGAAGTTGCACTCGGCCGCAGACGAGTCGACTCAGCTCAGCGTCTCAGTTTACAGGTGAGATACACTTTCCTCCGCAGGTACAATGTTGCCTAGCAACACCTCAACCAAACATGGCAGGTGAGTGGCGTCCTTCAGGAAGTGGAGAGAGAGAGAGAGAGAGAGAGAACTGAAGACAAACATATTCTCTCTTTATTTATACGCTGATGAAAATATCCAACAATTCAAACATTCTTTATTGATATTTGGTGAGAACAGAAATAAAACCAGTGACGGTGTCGGAGCTTTAAATCCTCGGGTTCTCTGTGGATCGATGATGTAAAACATGGTCACGTTTCCCGCCATCACCACATTATTATCATGTATAACACACACACACACACACACACACACACACACACACCACAGCCACTGACACGTGATGTCCCCGCCCATTCTCCTCCTCCTGCCACTGTCAACTGGAACACTTTCAAAATAAAAGACAAATTGACAAATTCACTGAGACATTTTTGACCCTAATGAAAATCAAAGCCATCAAAGAGAGATTGGAAATCACGTGATGAATGAAAATCGAATCACTTCTGCTTTTCAAATGTGTTGGAACTGTTCACCTATTTATTTATTATCCGGTTTGGTCACTTGAACAAACATCGGTGAGATACGAACGACCTGAAATGACAAAAACATCTTTGACAAACTTTTAGAAACGTCCCATCTGTTAACATGGAGAAGTTGGGAGATTTGGTGGGTGGGTTCAGACAGAACATGGCCGCCGGAGCCACAATGATTGGCTTCACTTCTGGGGACCCGTCATGTCGTCCATCTTTATCTCCAGCCTATGATTGTAAACGATTACTTCAGCAGATATCGTCATGTTCAGTTATATTAAGTTGTATTATGTTATATTTATACACGGTCACGATAAACAGTCGAACTGCTCCGTTTTTCCGTAAAAGACAGGCTTTTATTGTGAAGGCTCGGTCCCGGCAGGAAGTCCTGTGTGTGACGTGACGGAGGAGCCGGGACGAGCGGAGCGTTTTATTCTCACGGGCCGAATTTTTGATCTCGGTTCTTTTTTTAATCCGTTAGCTCGGTTCAGCCTCTCCGGGGCCAGAGAAGGACGCATCCTGGAAGTCTCCGGGGAACCGCGGATTTCCACGCAGCATGGGAGCTTCGTGACCCGCGGCAGGTGCGAGGAGATGTCGGGGGAGGCGGCGGCGGCCCCCGGGAGGGTGGTGCTGGTCAAGAAGATCATCATGAAGGACGGAGCCGCGGTGGGTGAACCGAGCCCGCGCCATCTTATCCCGGTCCATCGATTCACCGGGTTCACATTCGGATCTCACTCACGTTTTAGTTCGTGTCTGTGAGGCGGAGACTGAACCTATGAGATAAGATTTAAAAATCACACAGACTTTCTATTTGTTCTAAATCAAATTATAATAATGATGAGGATGAGGATGATGAAGAATAATAAGCAGATATTAACAGATGTGTACAGCTGCTCAGTTTACTGTAATAAAATAGAATTGATCCATGTTCCAGATGTTCAGATGAGTGACAGGGCTGATCCAGATGTGTGTGTGTGTGTGTGTGTGTGTGTGTGAGATGCTGATGTGCTCAGATCCATTATCTCTTATGCAACATCTCTCAGACACAGTGAGGACAGATCCAGGATCCACAGGCAGCGTCCATTTTAACACCACACACAACAACAGCAGCGTCTCCTCCTCCTCCTCCTCCTCCTCCTCCTCCTCCTCTCCTGACAGGAATAAAATGTCAGAACACAGAGGACACACAGGGACGATAGATGTCCCCTCGTTGTTTTTATGTTTAAACACTCACTTCTGCTCCAGAGAACGAAGAGCGTGTGACTAATCTGAGGTCAATTAAAGCTAGTACATCGGATAAGCTCCTTCTGAACATCAGACTTTTGTTGTATTATTATCTTTCATCGGCCGTAGACAGTGAATACAGATGCACGACCTGGTGGCTGGATGAATCCATGTTAGCAGATGGGACACGGACTAACTAAAACGTCACTGTGAATAAAATGGAGGTCGTTCTTATCACGCTGATGTTTGTTCTAGTGTCGGATGCGTTTGGGTTTAATTCGATATTTGACGATAGAACTATGAGCTGAGACATGATGAGGCGTGGATTGATGGAACCTCTCAATCGTGGCTCTGATCCCTGATTTTCCTTCTCTAATGCTAAGTCCGGTATTTTTCAACCTGGGAACTTTTCTTCTAAATGTGTGTAAATGAAGTCCAATACACCAAAAAGCACCAAATGCTTTGGATACCACAATATGATTGACAGCTCGTACCGTCCAATGGGTGAAGGTGTAGGTGGGTGTGCATTGTCCTCGAGCTCTCAAACAGGCTCCACCCCCTGTTCTTCCAAATATGGTTAGTTTTGGTTTAAAAAACAAACTGGACAGAACGACAGCTCACAGACCAACGGGTGACGTCACGGTGGGTCGATGCTGCGTACGACCCCGTCAGTGATTCAGGGAAATTCTGTCGACAAAACTACTGATCTTCCTCGAACATCAGACACGCTGCCCCCTGCTGACACCAGGATGTATGGCACAGAAGAGCATCGGTGAACAAGTCGTTATCTGAACTCAAATGATTCAAAGTAAAGACAGAAAATCTGCGTCAGTGTTCGTCTGCACTGCTCCACTTTAATCAAACGATTTATTAGAGTTATTAGAGTTTGTTCTTTAATAGACAGTTTTTAAAAATGATCAAATGTGTGTTCCAGCTCCAGCAGGGCATCGGCAGACCCAGTGTGTATCACGCCGTCGTGGTGATCTTCCTGGAGTTCTTCGCCTGGGGTCTGCTCACCACGCCCATGCTCACTGTGAGTAACACTGATGGAGGATAGACGGTGCTCTCACGTTAGCTTTAGCATTGGTTTTTCTCCGAAGTGGAGACGGCTGCAGAATCACTTTGCCTCTTAGGAGCAAGATGCAGAGTGTTTATGATGCCAGAATGAAAAGTGTTTAAATATTATGGAGCTGGATATTTAGCTTCTTTCTTTCTAATCAGTTATATTTTGTCTTTTTGCAGGTTTTACATGAAACGTTTCCTCAGCACACGTTTCTGATGAATGGACTCATTCAGGGAGTGAAGGTAAAAACTCAACTCTTCAGTTTTGTGACTCACGCCTTCGTGACTCATGCTCAGATTTTAGTAGAGTTCTCCAGTGAATCAGCATCAATCAACAGGATTCAGTCACTGAGACGTTCAAACTCCGAGCAGTGAACTGAGCTCAGTGTTTCAGAGATTCATCCACGTGGAACCTTTTTAACACAGTCACATATTTCACTGTCGCAAACGCTTGTTTATGACGTCACTGACTCTGCTACTTCCTGTCCAGGGTCTTCTCTCGTTCATGTCCGCTCCTCTGATTGGTGCGTTGTCGGATGTGTGGGGCAGACGCTCCTTCCTGTTGGTCACCGTCTTCTTCACTTGTGCTCCGATCCCTCTGATGAGGCTCAGCCCCTGGTACGACTCACTAATGGTTCATTGTGCCACAGTTATTATCTCACTGGACAGTTCATCTTTCCTGGTTTGAAGAAACTGAGTTCGATTTTCTCTCTCATGTGTTCAGGTGGTACTTCGCCATGATCTCCATGTCTGGAGCTTTCTCCGTCACCTTCTCTGTCATCTTCGCCTACGTTGCCGACGTGACGTCAGAAAGAGAGAGGAGCACAGCATACGGTCTGGTAAGAGCCACATTTCATGTGTTCTCCCTGAAGTTAAAAAGATGTTTCACAGTGATGGTCACTAGTGAAGATCTTCAGCCATCGTTGTGGTTACGAGACAAAAGTCCACTGAGCTGGAGAGACTGGACGCTTTCAGGAAGCAACGAGATGGGCCGGCCTCATGAAATGTATGAAATAAAACCTTCTCCGTAGACCTTCTGTAAAGTTTCACAGAGGAGGCGATGACATAAGCGGCACAATGACTTCATCGTATCAAATGAAGGATGTCGGTGTCAAATGACCGACGCTGAATCTGCATCAGAGACTAAACTGAGTCGTCTGCAGAATCTGAGCACGAACATGAGCTGAGAGCAGGAAAATAAAATCCCCTTCAAGTTTGAATTATTTGAATCAGATAATTAATACATAAAAACATCTCGAAGAAAACATGACGTCTAAACCGGATCCTCTCCGTCTGTCTCTCGATCCTCTAGGTGTCGGCGACCTTTGCGGCCAGCCTGGTGACGAGTCCGGCCATCGGGGCGTATCTGTCCGCCTGGTACGGGGACAACCTGGTGGTTCTGTTGGCCACGCTGATCGCTCTGGCCGACATCTGCTTCATCCTGCTCGCCATGCCCGAGTCTCTGCCGGACAAGATGAGGCTCAACACGTGGGGGGCGCCGATATCCTGGGAGCAGGCCGACCCCTTCACAGTCAGTAACACACACGGCCTGATTGAATTTACAGCAGAATGATTTTCATTTGATTCTCAGACTAAAAAAAGACATAAAAGACCAAAAGTGAAGTCAAAGCATCTCGATCGCCCCCTGGTGGTTGGCTGCAGTATAGGTCATGAACCATACTCCAACCAAATATAGCATGAGACGTCATGATTGACAGCAGGACTTCCTCATCATGGCTCCTGCACGAGATGGTGGCCTCCATATATATTCAATACTTTAGCTTAATTTCAAACAACGGGAGGAGACAGAGACGTGTCGTCCATCTTAATTTATAGTCGATGATTCTCCTCTTTGCTTTCATGGACACTTATGGAGGCGATGATGCAATAGATTTACAGGATATGAATCAGACCCGTAGAGTCTCAGGCGATCGTCTGACGGCGTCTGTGTTTCGTTTCCTCTCTCTCTCCTTCAGTCTCTGAGAAAAGTGGGTCAGGACCCGACCGTCCTACTGATCTGTATCACTGTGTTCCTGTCGTACCTGCCAGAGGCCGGACAGTACTCCAGCTTCTTCCTCTACCTGAGACAGGTGAGTCTCACCGCCCATATGTGCTGGATTTGAAATTTGAAAAGCTTGTTCTTGAATGAATAACTAGGAGCACAGAGTTTGATGGCTGTGTCTCATGAGATATAGCGGGCCGTTCACAAAGCAGAAGGTCGGTGGTTTGATCCCCGGCTCCTCCTGTTCTCATTCCATAACGTCCTTGGGCTTTTGTCCGTCAAAGACACAGTTGAACAGTTGAGCTGGAAGCTTCTTATAATAGTAATAATTCCATTGCACGTGTATATAAATGCTCAAACTTTGATAATAACAATAACTTCTGTCTCGCACCAGGTTATAAATTTCTCCTCCACAACCATCGCTGTGTTTATTGGCGTCGTGGGGATTCTGTCCATCGTAGCACAGGTAACAAACACGTTACATGTTTATTTACGTGCAATCATTTATAAACGTCAACGACATATATGTTAATTTCTGCCCTCTGTCTCCTCAGACTCTCTTCCTCACGCTGCTGATGAGAACTCTGGGTAATAAGAACACGGTTCTGTTGGGTTTGGGTTTCCAGATCCTTCAGTTGGCCTGGTACGGCTTCGGATCAGAGCCATGGTGAGAACAAAAAAACCTTCAAATGAAAATAAAGAGACTTCCAGTTGCTGGGGGGGGGGGGGGGGGTCGTTGGGTTGGTCTGCAGCAAAGTCCATTAACTCCCACTCTATCTGTGTGTGTGTGTGTGTGTGTGTGTGTGTGTGTGTGTGAACAGGATGATGTGGGCAGCAGGAGCTGTAGCAGCAATGTCCTCCATCACCTTCCCAGCTGTTTCTGCTCTGGTGTCACAGTCAGCTGATCCTGATAAACAAGGTGACAAAGACAACCTCTCCTCTCCTCCTGCTCTCCTCCTCCTCCTGCTCCTGCTCTCCTCCCTCATCACTAACCTCTCCTCCCTCTCTCAGGTGTGGTTCAGGGGATGATCACGGGGATCAGAGGTCTGTGTAACGGTCTGGGTCCGGCTCTGTACGGATTCATCTTCTTCCTCTTCAACGTTGAGCTCAACACTATGGACCCCATCCAGGGAGACTTCAACATCGACCCGCTGCCTCTGCAAAGTCCCACTGAGGTGCGCTTGTTCTCCGCTCTCCTCTCTCGTCTTTACGACGGCAACCTGTTTTCACCCACACCGGGTTTCAAACAGTAACGCAGACCCTGTTCAGACCCGGTGTTAACACCCGTCCTGAGGGATCCAATCACAAGTGTTCACCTCAAACGTTTGAATTAAATATGCTAAGCAGATAAAATAATATGAAAAGAGCAGCCGCGTTGGACATATGTCAACTCAGTTAATAATATCTTCTTCTCTGTCTGTCCTCGTTCAGCGAGCGCTCATCCCCGGCCCGCCCTTCCTGTTGGGTGCGTGCACCGTGGTGGTCGCCTTCTTCGTGGCCCTCTTCATCCCAGAGAAAACCTCCTGCTCCTCCTCTTCCTCCCACCTGTCCCTCAGCGACAAGCCCCACCCGGACAGCAAAGAGTCCATGTCCTCACTGGCTGGCGTCCACATCAACACGCCGCTCCCAGGCAGCGACGAGGAGGCCCCTCCCACCACTAGCGACGAGGACTTTGAGCCTCTGCTGCAGGACAGTATCGTTTGACGGACAGGTGGAAGAGCCACAAAGGGCGGGGCTTACGTTTATAGTTTCACTGATTGACATTTTGCAAAAAAAAAGATGAAGATTTTTGCCGCAGGGTGGAACTAAGTACCTCCAAAGTCAGGAAAAGGTGATTGACAGCGAGAAGCTCCAACAGCATCGTCTCTCCACCAGAAGGAGGAGCTAATGTCACCGATCAGGAGCAGAGACGGTAACATCACGTGAGCGACCAATGAGGACGGCTCTCTAACGAGGGGGCGGGAGCAAAGAGCTGCAAATAAGATGTCATTATTATTTTTCTGAACGGAGGAGACGGAGACAACGACAGACGGACGTGGGACAAAAAACGACGGCCGAGGATGAAACCATCACGTGATTGAGAAGACGAGGAACCAGCTGTCAATCATGTGAAGAGAGAGACGTACGTACGAAGGATTCTCGTTCATCTTAAAGCTTGAAACTGTTGATTGGTTTTTTTTTGTTATAAACAAGAAAAAGTGTTTTTACCTTCAGCTGTTTTATTTTAACGTCGTATTTTAATGTCGTGTTTCATTTTTTACTGGTTATTGTATAAAACAAACACGTCTGCAACATATTTACAGCAGCTGAAACTGTTTCTACTCTCTCAGCTGGAGAAAACGTACTTTGTTAAACTTTCTTCCCTTTTGAGTTTAAGGATTTTTATTCTTTTTAAATGTTTGAGTTATTGATGCCAAGGTTTGAATGTGAAGATCTGAGAGACGAGACAACCAAGTGAAATCCAGGATTTCAAAATATCTATTTAAATCATCCATTACATTGAAATGTACATCAACGGGGCAAGATTCCTGTTTTATTTAAATTTCTTTAGATTTTAAATAAGTAGGAACATTTTTCAGGCCGTGCACTTTGACCACACGTTTATTGTTGATATTTTTTGCGAGAAACGAAATAATGTCAGTTAGAAAAATGACCTCAGTGTATAAGCTTCACTCCTAATCTCACCAGTTATTATCCCCATTGTTTGTCACTCTACCTCAGAAAAATGTTTTTAAATCATAACCTGGATTTTACTCATTTTACTCTTATTTTTATATCATTGTCACTTTATGAAGGTGCTGCCGGCTGCTGACGGTGGAAAAACCTCAGAGCTGCAAACCTGGTGTTTTAACTTCCGAGAGAAATCCGAGCACACTCAGATTTGTATTTTTTAATTTCAGTGTAATTTTTGAACTTTAAACAGATTCTGTGATTTGAAGCAGATCCGATAACAACCAGCATTTCAACACATCTTTCCTGTTCACTCAGGACTGCATCTTTAGAGGAGACGTATTTTATATCATTTTGATTTGTGTTATTACTAAAATGACGTCTCCAGGGGCTCGTGTGCCTTCGTCACGGTGTTAATAACCAATATGTTCACTGTTTCTCACTCTTGAATATTTAATGGTAATATTTAGCGTCAGGCCCTTCACGTCCTGCATGTGCTCCAGATGTTGACAATACAACACAACCGTGCTCTCGGCTCATCAGTTCATCATCAGTTCATCATTTAAATGTCAACAAATGTGAAGAAGATCTCGTTTTCATTTGTTAGTTAAGATTATGTTATGACTTAATATCGCGTGTGTGTGGTGCTAACTTCCGAGGACGAGCACAACACAACACCAAACACAGTATGTGAGTCAAGTATAAACAAGTATATTAATAGCACTGAAATGTATTTATAGCAGTTTTTTTTCCTTTACACCATGAGATCGGTCGGTCATTTCTGTTACCCATGATCCTTCACTGTTAGATTTTAGGGAAACGTTTTTTTGTCTCCTCTCTCGTGTGTTGCAGGTTTGAGGTTCTTCTGTCTGACAACAGTGAAAATCCTGTGAATGAATTTATACTTGAAGCATCAGACAGAGATTCTATGAGAGTTTAACAGAGTTTAAGTGGCACAGAGTTATTTCCTTTATGACCTTAAAATGTACATGAAAAAATGTGAATATTATGGTCTGTAAATAATGTAGAAGTGAAGTCTGGTTCATCAGAAGGTTTTCCTTCTGTGTTTTTGTCCTGTGATGCTCAATGGCACTAAAACAGTGGGTGGAAGTGGTGGAAGGTTTGATTCCTCTTGTGCAGCTAAACCATTAAAAAACAATTGTTCAGATCAGACTTTGCAACAGATAATAATTCTTCTGTTATTTACACCTGACTGTGTTCACATGCACATTGATTCTGTCACATGATGTTTTCATCCCCAGCTTTTAAAGTCCATGAATGAATCCAACACTTTATTTAAACATTAACACGTCTGCAGTTCAGTGACTTTTCTTAATCTGTGCAAAAACCTCAAACCTCCAGATGATAAATTAGGACATTAGTGTGCACGTAAATACTCAAGTGTAATTTAATTCAGATGGTTCAGTGACAGTAAAACTGTAAATACATGGAGTGAATGTATATGAGCAAAGTAAATGTACACAAGGATTCACTGTAAATACACTTTGTCCAGTGTCTCGTCTGAAAGTGTACAAGGTTAGTGGAAATTAAAATGGAACAACACGAGCATGATGTGACTTTTTATTTACTTAGTGTGTTCTGGTAGGACATGGAAACTTAA